GAGTGCGGGACAAAACGGCTTCCTTTTCCTTGGACGGCGGTAGAGGGTCGATCATGACATTGGACTTGCGAAGCGGCGGGAGCTCAGGAAGACCCGATTTCACACGGGGCTTCCCGTCGGAGTTTCTGCGGATAGACGGCGTGCTGGACCGCACGCCCTTTGCTTCCAACTCTTCCGCATGTTCCTCCAGCTTTTCCGTGAGCTCCTTGGCATCAGAGTTGAGTTCAGCCAATGCGGCAGACCAGCTCTTGGATCTGGCGAGTTCCAGAGGGGTGACAATGGTGGCGGCAATGCTGGCTCTAGTAGGCACTGCGGTATCGGACTTCCATGTCGGCGACTTAAGGGATCCCTGGGCTGCTGCCACTGGTGGTGTGCCATTTCCTACACTTCGTATCCTTTCCTTAGGAGGAGCGCGTTCTGGTGAAGGGGCTTTGGAAGAAGCTCGGCTTCTTGATCGTTCCGAGGGTGGCCTAGGCGAGATTGGCACATTATTAAGCACGAGCCCGTCAGGGATGTCGTCTCCGTCATCTTCGTCGCACTCCTCCTCCAACTGTCTGGCGGTCTTTCGCTCCCGGGTCGACTGCCAGCTACTCCTCCGTGCCTTCATCGGAAAATCGATCTGAAGATTGGGGCTAGAGCTGCGTTGCCGTGTCGAGGAAGAGGAAGGCAACCGGTTTCCAAGGGAGCGCATAGGAAGAGGGGCAGTGTGAAGCTCGGGGGTGAGCCCCAAGCTCGCGACTCTGCCATTGACGGTTCGTAGGTGACTCTGGATATTCGGGAGGGTCGGTCTTGGTTTGCCCGATGATGAGGCATCCCGCTTCTGGCGGGTTTTGGACGGACTGCGGGAAGATCGACTGCTCTTGGAGGGTACTCGCAATTCGGAAGTAGGGTTAGAGCTATACAGCATGGGCGAGGGCTTCAGGTTCTGAGTTAGCCCTCGAGCATCGACATGGGAGTCATCCTGGAGTCCAATGTCTTCAAAGTGGCTAGCATCAGCAAGCACGCTGTCGTCATCTGAGGGTACCGAGTTCAAGGATGAAGACTTGGAAGATTTGGAATGCGTCAAGCCTGGCGGAGAGCTGGGGCCAGGAAGATCATGAACGGATCGCTCGTATAGCATCATCTTTGCGACATATACTTGCGAACAGAGGCTGATGATCTAGAAAGGGGTGGAGGCGAGGTTTGCTTTTTGAGGCGGGCCCTGGTATAGCTGGGAAGGGTCCTCGGTCCCAAGTGTCTGGTTCAAAATGCTGCAGGAGGCGGATTGATCCAAAGCGCAAGCGCAAGCGCACGTTTGGAGGGCGAGTATCGTCGCGGAGTTGCAGGGCTGGCTGGAAGCCGTTGGTTGGCTTGCAGACGCGCGCACTTGAGGCTGGGCGGCGGTTGGAGAAGAGGCGCCCGTGGGACAGACGTCGAATGTCTCAAACAGATGCCGATGGTTTCGCAAAGGGGTAAGAAATGGCCAGCTGGAGTAACGATGGTGATGTTTGGATAAGAGATATAAGTTGTTGTGTATCTCTTAATAATTATGCCTCTTGGGTCATTAACGATGGTTGAGTCGGCGGTGGTGTGATTATTGATGATAGCGACTGTGAGGGGATGAAAGCGAATGATGAGTTCGACTTGTTGGAGATATCCGATGGATGAAGATGGATGACGACGGTGGGCGAATGCGGTCAAGAGCGAGTGGTTGGGTTGAAAGAAAAAGAGAGAGAGTATGGATTTGCGACAAGGAAGACGCGAATCAACAGGTCCCGATCCCAAGACGATGATGAAAACCGGTCAGAACGAATGACGGAAGGCGTGAGCGGATAACGAGTGAAAAAGGAAAGCCAAGGAGATGCGCGCTGCAGGATGGCTAGCAAGTCGGCATCGAATCCAAGGAAGACTTGGACAGCGTGCGTGAGGTTGTGATTTGTGAGAATGGAGAAGGAAGCAATCATGCGTTGAAATCAAGGCACGGACTCTTTTTTTCCCTTTTTTCCCCTTGGCCGTCTGGGTCCTGCTGGGTCGAAGAGGGTCCCGCCTGCCGCTAGAGATCCCAGGTTCGGTTCCGCTTCAAGGCCCGCTTACATTACAGTGTCCGCCAAACCCGCTCTCCCAGCGACAATTCACCAAACATTTCAGCTGCCGTTGCAGGCCTGCCTGCCCTGGCAGATGCACCGGCAACACCTGCGATTTCCACTTCTGCAGCAGAAAAAGACGCGAAATGGAGCTCACCACGTGGATCCACCTCTTGCCGGTGCAGGCCTGCAGCTGCTTCGAGACTTGCAAGCAAAGTTCGATCTAGGGAAAGGGCTAGGGAGAAATGTAGTACCGAAAATAAATATCCATAGCAAAGGAAGTGAGGAATATCCAAACGAGATTCCCTTCTCCATGGTATGGCCTCAACCCACTCACCCGCTCCCGGATCTCTGTCCCGCTGTCCGGCCACTCCGGCCACTCCGGCGGATCGATGGGATTCAATTCTTTAACTGCTTACGACCAGCAACGAATCAATTGGAGGAATCAAAACGTGCTGCACGACTGCAGGTGATAATTGGAAAATAAGGAGAATTCTCTAGGTTAATGCGGTGGCCGGCATGACTAAAAGCGCACTACTGTCCCGGATGTCTGGTCTTAACAACGTTCGATAAATATGGTTCCGATCCAGGGATCATGACGGTTGCAAGCAGGCTTTCCGTCTCCGTCTCGCCAGCATCCCATTCCCGCCAGCGGCATAGTCAGCGGAGGGGAACCTGAGTCGTGCTAGAGCGCCACAGATTGCAGGATCATGATGGAACTCCATCTCAGGCAGAGCTCTCTCCAGATCGAGGAGTCCGGGCATGTGAGAAGAGACGGTCTGGACTCTGGCTAGCTGAGGAGCTGTCGGATATAAAACCCAAAAGATAATGCACGAGGTCCGCGGTGGATGAGGGATGAGAGATAAATAACAGACTTGTCGTCGTGCATGTACATACACGAGTGAGTGACACGGTAATAATGCCAATCATGAACTTCCTCTTCTTGTATCACCCATCACCATCATCGTCAACATCACTAAAGATGAAACGGAAAACATGTCCGTCGGGTCAACTCAACCTCAAATCATCTCTACTAACAGCTAATAAAGCTATCAAGTGTCACTGCAATTGGACGCCAAAAAAGATGGTGAAGCTCGTCGCCAATGCACCATTACCAAATCCTTTTCTTTACACAGTTAACAAGGTCAGAACAGTCTGACCAATCAGAAACCGGCTCCCTAATGTTCATGCCCATGCCCGGCGACGGGAAATGAGGTGGGCGCACCGTTCAATTTCAAGTGCGGAGAACTCATGTTTTAGATTTTCATCGACACACGGAGCTTGCCGTTCGTCATCGCTTGTCCCAGGATCGCCCGACGGGAGATTCACTCGGGAACCCTCACCCCTGGATTCCATTCCATGCCTCTCTGCCAAAGGCCGGCCACTGGGAAAAGAAGGTCCAACGGTCCTTCGAGAAGCACCAGAAGCATCATAGGAATGACACCGTAGGGACGGGAAGAAAGCCAAGACTGGGCCAAGGCGAGCCAATATCCACGACGACATTGGATCGACTAAACCTCCATGCTAGTACATTGCTTGGCTATCTCCGGGTGCTTCCCACGGGGTCCTCTGCCACGAGGGAGGCCGGCTCGGCTATGTATGGACTCACGTTCGGGCGACAGTCCGCCGGTGCCATGCGGTGCGGGCCATCAGGGTCACTTGGGCAGGTCGTTTGTCGATCGATAAAACCAGGCACTCAATCCTCCTCTGGCTCTTCCGTCCTCCTCGATCCTCTTCACAGGCGGCCTCCTTTTGATACTCTCACGAGTAGCCAACCGGTATTCAATCGTAGGCAAGATGGAATGTTTGGACATCTCCCCAATACCTCCATGACACTCGACTCGTCCCAAGTAATAACGGGACGAGGTGGTTTTCCAAACGACGCCACGTTGTTTGAAATCTTAAGGCCGATGATGATGTTTGCCTCTTCCTTCTTCCGTCAGTATGTTTTGGCCTTCCCGTTCGAAGGAACAGCATTCCATCCATGAGACAAGATCCCGCAACCGCAACCCCGCGCGTCCATATGATTTTAGCCTGTTACTGTCGATCTGTCAGAGAGATGCCATGCCCAAGAGGATATCATATATATATGGTGGCGATCTTATGAATAAATAAGGTAGTCAGTGGTAGTCAAAAAGAAGGCAACGACCTCGTCACTCAGACTTAAATCGCGGATTTTTCTGGTGTCCTGGTGTATCTCCTCGTCAACTTTGTTTCGGAGTGGCCTCACTCATAGTCTCAGTCTCACCCTCTGCCCTCCCCCGCGCGCGCCGCGTGTAGCTTTCCCCAGGTTTCTCAGATCGTGGGGGATACCTCCTGTTGGACACACAGGTACAGTCCTTTTTCTTTTCTTCCTCTCTCGACGGGAGCGCTGTTACTCAAAATATGTCTCCAAGAAACACGATATCACGCTGTTAGCTTTCTCACTGAAACATGATCAACGCGTCCCCGGATGGAAGAAAGACAAGTATCGTCATGACGTTTCCCCATCCAGGGGAGGAGGGTATACAGGCTGAAAGTATAGACTGAGCTGGTCCCGTCGTCTGTAGTGCAGACAGCTTGGCCGTGACGTGACGTCTACCGGTCTCAGTTCTATTTCGAGACACTCCGCCTTTGTGAAATCAGATAGTACCGTCCGAAGATGTGGAATCTTACACTGACTGACGTCGATACCTATTAGTCTGATAGTCTATCTGGCAAGAACAAACGAACGACGCGCCCTTCCAATTTCGGGTTACCCCCGACTATCAAGGTTCTCAAAGCTTTCGCCTGGTCGAGTACACAGGCAGGCAGCAACGGGTGCGACAGTTCCCTTCTTTCTACTACTGAGTGAAAGTTATGGTTCATATCTCTACAAAAAAGATTTCATCAAATCTTCCATTTCAGACAGGCTTTAGTTCATAGGTATCCATTTCTCGATTTTTTTTCACCAGCAATTTACAACCACCCAAAATCTCACCATCATCGAACCAATATCTGCTCACACATACCAGTCAACACAACAACTGAAAGAAGACAACAACAAAGATGAAGCTCAAACTTTTCACCCTCGGAGTAGTCTCCCTCGTCTCCCTCGCCCTCGCCCACCCCGCAGCTCCTACAACTCCCGCATCTCCAACCCCCTCCTCCCTAGGTCTAGTCCCTCTCCCTCTCCCTCTCCATCTCCCGAACAACAACAACAACAACAACAATCACATCACAGGCAACTTCTCGCACTCCTGCGACCAAATCACCTTGATGAACAAGTACTTCCTCGCCGCGACTTGCAGTCCTATCACTATCGAGCCTGGTTCTGCCGCTCCCAGCCCGTCGGAAGATGGGAATCATGATTTTCAGGTTCAGGTTCCTCCGGCCCCGGAGTTCAACCAGCTCGACCTAAACATGTGTATCGGGTTCGACCAAGGGACCCAAGGGACCGGGACCGGGACCGCGGGGCGACCGGAGAGTGGTGGAGGCGGGGTTTATGGTGGGAGGTTGATTTGGCAGGCGCTGTTAGTTTTTCTTTATTTATTTATTCCATTTATTCCCATTTCTTCCCATTTCTTCCCATTTGTTAAAAAAAAAATTTTCCCTCCTTTTTTTTACCTTTTATTTTTTCAATTTTTTTTTTTTCACGAGTGACATCAATGCCGAAGTGAAGTGAAGCAAAGATAAAGATGCAGCTGACAAGTCTTGGGTCCGTCCCGTCGTTATACAAACAGAGGTAAATTCGCAAACTACTGCACCGATTGCAACCTCACCACTGGCCGCCCGGGTCTGTCTGAACTCGAGTGTAGCTGTGTCCCGATGACCGGTGGTCCTGGGGCTACTAGTGTTACGGTTTTGGATCTTGGTACGTTATTTAGGGAATCTCTCTCTCTCACACCAGGGCAGTTCACTTTGACTTGAATGAAAAAAAAAAAAAAAAAAAAAAAAAGGAGAAGATGAGGCTAACGACGATATTGTCTTGATACCCGCGTTATAGACGAAGGCGTGGAGAACAGAAATGGTACACTTGTTTGCCGTGGTGGGATGGGCTCGGGGATTGGTCCTGGTCCTCTTCTGCCTGAGGACTGAGGAGTGAGGACTGAGGAGTGTGGGAAGAGTGGAAGGAGAGCGAGAAGGAGAGGTCAACATTCTGCTTGCTGGCAATGCAGGTTCTTCTTTCGTTGTTCATTACTCGTCGGAGCATACACATACGTAGTGATGAACAGCTTGAGTCTTGTCACATCCGCACATCAAGTTATCTAGGGGACCGAGTTGCCTTGACTTTCAACTCTTTATAGAGAGCCTTTCAGGGTTATCGACCCATCCGAAAGGAGTTATATACACGTACATTGAAATGAACAATTCCTTGAAAACGCCGCCTTCCATGATATCATGTAGCCGTTCGGCATACCCCTATACCGCCATTCGACCGACCGACAGATGATCCCAAACCAACCAAATGAAATCCCCGTGCCCTTAATGCGTAGCCCAAACAGAAATTGTACAGTCCTTCTATATATCACATCATCCCCCACCTTCCCATATGTCCCATGTTGTACCTTGGGAGCAATCAAGATTTCAAATCTCCCAAACCAACTCGATAACCTCATCCATACTCTCGCCCACCGCCGGTCCAGCAGCTTTGTGCACATAAATTTGCCTGAACCTCTTCTTACCCTTCTTTTGTGCTGTCCACCCCCTGCCTTCCTTTTCCCCTCCGCTCTGTGTCTTCGTTGTCGTCGTCATTGTTGACTGTGACTGTGACCCCGTTGTTGATGAGTCGTCTTCCTCCGCAACATCAACATCCACCAACCTCCAACTCTTCTTCTCCCTCCCCTTCTCCAACCTCCTCCTCACGGGTCCATAACTAAACGCAAACTTCTCCTTCCGTCCCGCCTCGTCCCACGTCCCCTCCACCCTCGACAGATCAATATCATCCAACCCGTTTTCCAAACCGGGGTATTGCGTGATCGAATACCCCAGACTCAACAAACTCTCCTCCTCTTTCCTCTTCTTCTTTTCGGAGGTAGATCCAGTCCCAAACCGAACCCTCATCAAAAAACACCCCCCACAAACATCCCTCGCCACCCTCGCCATTTTTTCGACAGGCGCCTGATACCAGCTCTTCCAATGATGCAGACTCAACACCGGCCAGACCCCGCTCTCGAAAAAACCCGACGCGTCCCCCTTGATATCATGCTGATTCAGCCCCTCCACCAGTGTCAGTCTTGTGCGCGTGTGCGAGTAGATGCAATCCCGCAGGATCCCGTCGCCGGTTTGGATCGAGGCAGTGGTGATACATTCCTCCAAGTGGGGAGCGAGTTGGCGCGCTAGGGGCAAAGATAAAAAGGAGCCGGCGCCGCCAAAGGCCATGAAGCCCCACACTTGCACGGCCATGAAGTCATCGGATAGAGCGCCGAGCCAGGCGGGGCGGGTGTGGTCGTGTTGGGAGAGAGTGTGGGAGAGGGGGGAAAGGGAGGGGAAGAAGGTGTCGTCGTCTAGGATGGCGAGCCAGTGCGGGGTTGCTTGCTGAGACTGGGAGGACTGGGAGGAGTCGATGACGGAGAGGAGTTCCTTGATGAGAAGAAAGTGGTGGTGCTCGACGGGCACGGGACGAGGGTCGGGCTTGCCGTCTTTGAGGTTCAGGCGCTTGAAGATCTTGGGAGGAAGAAAGGTGGCGAGGATGCCGGCGGCGCGGTATTCCTCTTCGAGTAAGGTCAGGTTGAACGAGTTCTTGGTGCTGTCGTCTTGGTGCTCGGGCGGCACGGCGTCGGCGATGGTGCCGACTAGACGGGCGCCCGTGCCGGCTAGCCAGTGGGCAAAGGCGGGGATGGCTTCGCGCATGCGCTCGTACTTGGAGGCTACGCCGAAGAGCAGGTGCGGGTATTGGGCGTCCTTGGGGTAGGGCATGGGCACCTCGAGGGAGAGCGGCTCGCAGGGGATGGGCTCATCGTGGGAGCACGAGGTGAGGTCGATGGCGGTGGTGTTGGTTACGAGCGGTCCGGTGATGTTGGTGATGGTGTCGCGGTCGAAGTCGGCCTTGTAGATGGGTTTGATGCAGCGGCGCGAGTAGAGGATGTTGTGGGTCAGGCCAAGCTCGGGACGGCGCAGGAACTCGATGTCCTTGGGACACTGGCCGGGATCGAGCTTTGGTCTGTAAGGTAGTTGTGGGGGGTGCAGAGTGGTCTGGTCTGCTGGTATTCCTCCTCCTGGCGGCAGGTTGCCCCCTCCCCCCCCTCCTCCTCCTCCTTGCCCTTTCCACTCCCCTCTGCCTCCCCAGTTGTCGAAGGTGGTCGGTAGTAGGGAGCCATGGTGACGTAGTCGGGAGATGCTCCACAGGACGACGGCGAAGATGAGGCTGACGAAGATGGAGAAGCCCCTGGTTGGACGTTTTGATAGTAGTACCTTCATGGTTTCGACATTTGAGCCTGCTGGACTATGATTCACACTCGTGCAAATGTCGTAATCAAGTTCCCCTGACAGGCGGATGAATGATGTGATGTCGGGGAGTGTCTTGCAGATGCAAGAGCGGGTAAGGCGAAGCAGGCGTAGCCGAGGAGCGTTGGTTTCACGCAGGACTGATCTTGAGCTGCAGGCAGGGCTTGGGGTGCTTTTGCCTTTGCGGGGGAGGAAATAACGAAGGAAGGAACGAGTGATATCGGAGATGAGAGAGGATGGAAGGAAGTAAAAGAGAAATAGGAACACAAGATCAACTTCTGTTCACCCCAGAGTTTCATTACACGGACTGGTAACGGTAACGGTAACAGTCACGGTCACGGTGATCCCTTTCCCATGCAGGCTTCCGCACCGTTCGACTTTTAGTCTCCCCCTCGTCGTTCGTCATCCCGTCCCGCAGTTCGATATCTTTAGTAGAGTTCCTTGCGTGGCCTGCGATGCGAATCAGACGTTGTCCCCCTTTTTTTTTTTTCCCTCTTCTCGAATGCAATGAGTTCCAGTTTCGAGTTGGAAACTTGGGATGCATTTGGGGGCAAAAGCAAGGAAGATCCCCGGAACTCGGCGACTCCACAAAATCTCCAGACGACCCGACGTGCATTGCATTGGATTGCATTGCAACTTCCAACCTCCAGTCGGCCGATCGCAAACGTGGAGTGGGCTGGTGGACCTTTCTGGCATTTGTTGATCTTGTGTGCTTCCCCTTCGATTTCTTGTTCGTATCAGCATGTTCTTCTTTTTCCTTCCAAGGAAATATATGAATGGGATCTTTGGAGACTTGAGCCACTCGACTTGGAAAGTTGCAATATCCACACCGCTGATCGTTAACAATTCCTGAAACGAAGGCTGTGGGCTCTGGGGCTCCTTCTTCCGCCATCTTTGGATGGCGACATCAGTGACGGAGATGGTTGCAAACGTTCATTGTTCGTTCCAATCCAAGTCAGCCAAAGTTTGTTTTTAGGTGAATGACGGCTGATTTATTTGGAGATTCTTCTATCTTCTCTTTACCTTTTGCAAACAGAGCTAGTCCCGTCTACCTAACGGTTTTCCATGTGGATCGCCTTGGAAAACTGTTAGTGCATCCATCCACTCTGGGTGGATCCGCTCGCCTTTCCCTCTCTCCAAAAACAAGTCAGAAAGACGACGACAAACAAGTTCAGGACCGTCTTCATCAGTCAAGGAAACTGGAATGGAAATTCAAAGCGATTTGCACATGTGATATTCATCAACAAACCCTCAAGATACTTACAATCACAAGGTGTTTCCTCACGTCGTCAACGGGAAGTAGAAGTGCACCCCCACGCACCACGGAACCGCATCGGCCCTCTCGACTCCAACGGCCGGGGAGGAACCGGGGCCCCGCCCACGATTTAAATGGCACCGCAAACCAACATCACCGAACTTCAAGCACCAAGAACACGGCAAAATGCCCACGAAAATGAATGATTTTTACCGCTCTCGGAGTCTGGTGATGACTAGCAGTTAAAGAGGTGCTCCAGGCCGTTCTCTCTTTGCCATTCTCTTGCTATAACAGTGTTGGGTTTTCATCTTTCCATGTGGTTTTCCTCCTAACTGTCTTTTGCGGGGCCATTTAATTCGTGGGGGGTAAAAAAAGGGGTGATCGACGAACGGACCACCACTGCCACAGGATCACCATGGTCTACATGGACACTGCAACATTTGCTAACCACAACAGTCAAAAAGCTGTTCTAGAAGAAATGGAGATTAACCTTCGAGGCATGAATGAAGTGATGATCAGGGGTATAGAGTAAGCCAGGAACCATGTAGAAGGAAGTATGGTCAGGGGAGAGAGGATGGGTTGATAACACAAGATCGTCCAGGTCTCATTTCACAATCCCGTTGTTGCTTGCAGACGGGAATCGCACATCAAGAGATCGCCAAGAGAAGCTTAGCTGTCAATACTCAACCATTCATGGTTCTTGAGTAAGCCACTACTGTATGCCGTGTAGGTAATATCTCAATATTCTAGACCTCGACTACATACCGCACTCACTTATCTCATCCTCAACCACCCTAGGATGATGAGTAGGAATACAACTCCGTTCCTAACACCTCCTCATACTCTAGTCAACTGGTTACCCGTTTCACCAACTCGGGGGCAATTTCACACACACTTGATTTATTGGATAATATCGGCCCATTAGAAGCGTTGGGTTACTTATTGGGTACAACATCCGTCTGTCAAATTACGTTGTACAATCCAACACTGGTTTGTTTGTTTGTTAGTTTGGTACAAAAAAGCCAGCGCTTTGCTGAATATAGGCAAGCGTTCGGCGTTTCAGCGGATGGGTGCGGTAGACTGATATCTTCAGTCCTTTGGATCTCGAAGTGAGACGGAGAGAGGCATAGAAGAGGCTTCTGTGGCGTATTAAGCCCTGGTTATTGTCCATCGCTTCAAACAAAGGCCAATTTTCTCTCGAAGGAGGCCAATGAGAGCTCCAATTCTCCCCTGTTCAACCCATGGCCGAAGAACCAAACTAACAAACAACCCAGTGTTGTACAGTCCAATACTGGTTTATTTGTTAGCTCGAGACCTTTGGTCAACTTTCCTAGGCGTTTATATATCTAATTGATCCGTTTCGTTCTATCACTAAAGCGTGATCTTACCTTGCATATACTATTTTGGAAATTGGATATGCTATATTGAATCTTGTTGATGCCTTTCCGATCCGTACTTAGCCATTCATTTTAGCTTTGTGAGGTTTGGGACAATTCGGGATAGATCTCGTCTAGCATACCAGGAGTACCAAGCTAACAAACAAACCGCATTAGATTGTACATTTACTGCCACTGCCGTGTCATTGTGCCGCCCGCTGTGTCATTGTGTCAAACGCATGTATCTACCCGCTCCCGCTCCCGCCCCCGATGACCGATTTTGACAGGGAGCAAGCGAGCGCATTGAGGCAGCAAAGTAGGTATCACGACGACCTGTCAATGTCAAAATATCAGGAGCGGAAACGTTTGACGGTCGGTTGTTGTTTATGTTCAGTCTAGAGCGCTGGTACGGAAGAGATGATGACATGCACAATCCCTCCCGGTTCAACGTCAGATTTTTCTTGCTCCGGCCGCAAAACTCAAAAGTAATTCGCCAAATCAATATGCCCATCCGTCTCCAACAACGGAAACAAATTCAGCGCTCCAAACATCTGATCAGCGTCCGAATCCAGCGATCCGCCCATGATGGAGAACTCGGGCGTGCGCGGGAGGGACTCGGTCATGCCGAGAAAGGTGGTTGCAGTGGACTCGTGTCCGACAAAGTCGAAGTCATGATTCATGTTGTTGAAGCGGTTCCCCCAAAACGAAGATGACGGTGTATGTGCGTGGGCATGGGCATGGTGGTGATGATGATGGTAGGAATTGTGATGATGGTTGTGGTGGTTGTGGTTGTGGTGGGAGTTGTGGTGCGGGGGATATGATGATGGTTTGGCTTGTTGTTGTTTGTGGGTACTACCGCCACCGCGAAGACTTCCAGGGATACCACCGAATTGTCCTCCTACTGAGGGATTGGTGTGTTGGATGCTTCGCTGGTAGTGGGGTTGTTGGTCGTGTTGATGTTGTTGTTGATAAGAATTAGAGGTGTTGGGATCTTCGTGGTCGTTGTTGTTGGTGGTGTTGTGATTGTGGTTGTCGTCGTTTGTAGTCTCGTCCCCGGAGTCACCACGGGGTATGAGACCGAATAGTTGAGAAGAGCTTTCCGTTCTTCGAAGCCGGTCTTGCATCTCTCTCTTTTCTAAATAGGCCAAGGCCGTGTTGAGCAGGGACTTGGCGATGAGCGAGTACTGCACGGCGTGAGCGTCGGCTTCGGCAAAGTACTCCAGCGCGGCGATGGAGGCGCGGCAGTACTTTTCGATGATACGACCGAAGCCTCCTAAGAGACCTAGCCCCAAGACAAGCGACGAGGCAAAGAGCCATGACCTAGATGGGGTAAGATACATATAACGGCGAATGATTAAAGGTGGGGGGAAGAAGGCTGCAAAGTGGAAACTTACACAATCACGGGCGCCCGCCGAGTCATCAAGCCCCTTTGAATGAGATCCTGGATCGGATCGACCATCAAACTGGCAGCATCAATGCAAGCATCCGCAAGTTTGGACTTGCCGGATGTCACCAGCCCATCTCTTGCCGTAAATGCTTCCGCCGGATACCCCTCCGCCAGCCTTCGCCTCAGTTCAACCATGAGGAACGGCCTCGACACTAGAATCACTGCATAATAATACGAGGCAAGCACCTGACAAGCTCCGTTGACCATTGCCCCCGCCGCCGTTAACCCTCCACGCTGGTCCGCCCTCGGCAGCGGTGTCTGCCTCGGGCTTGGCCGTGGTCGCTCCTCAATCACGCGCTTCAGCCGCTGCAACCACCTAGCCGACCACTCCCTCAGCTGCCTCGAGATGCCCTCCGTCAGCTGCGGCGAGATTTTCCGTCTCGAATACACCTCCAACACGATCCCCTCAATGATCAAAAAGATCTGCGCCGACCCGTTCAGCAAATAATCACCACTAGCATCCGGATCCGTCTGTTCCCGCCCCTCGCCGTCGACGGCGTGGTACAGCACCGTGCAGTCGACGTCGCTGGTCGCGGGCGGCCGGCCCATGGACGTGCTAAGAAACAGGTCCACCACCCGCAGGCTCTTCCACAGCCGGTCGCGCTGGCGATGGATCTCAGGACTGAAACGCGCGTTGACCTCGGTGCGGTGGATGCCGATGCTGAAGGCCGAGCGCGCGGCGATGCCAAAGAAGATGAAGGCCCCGTTGATCTGGCACGCCCCTAGCATGTAGAGCGTGATGAGCATGAAGCACTGCACCGAGGCTAGGCCGAGGTTGCCAGTTAGGTTGGCAAAGGCGAGGTCGCGGGCGTGGTCGAAGTAGCATTGGGCGGTGCTTTCGGATTCGGAGAAGGAGGATTCCGGCACTTCTGACGGCTCGGACGGGGAAGGGGATGATTTGGTGTGGGTGTTGGTATTTTTCTTTTGGAAAAGCAGCCCGATCGCGAGGACGAGATAAAAGACGGCGGAAGTGGCGTCTCCTCCTGGTGGTACGCCTCCACCTCCTCCAGCTCCCATGAACGTCCCCTCCTCGCTCGCCCCAGTCTCCGCCCCCGTTCCCGTCCTTGACCGACGAAGTTGCACCGCCCAAGAAGCAATATCCTCAATCAACTGCCTCGGTTGCTGCGCCTGATCATCAAAGATACCAATGAGTCCCGCCGTGCTCTGAAAGTAGGCAGTAACAACCGACTCAATAATCGACGTTTGGACGGGGGGAGGTCCAGGTCCAAATCCTCGGCTGCGCCCATCACCACTATAACCAAACCCACCATACCCACCACCATTACCACCACCACCCAGACTGAAGGCAGCAGATGCCCTAGGATGATACGACGCATTATTCTCCAAAGCCGAGTACCCGCTATTCTCGGGCGCGAAGGCATCAGGATCAATGCGCGAGGTGATCAGCCTCTGGACGGTGCGGAAGAAGGAGAGCGGGGCGCAGTCGCCGATGAAGATTAGTTTTCCTTGAGGGTCGACGAGGAGACGGCCTTCGCGGGGAACTTTTATTTCTTCGTTGTGGGCTTCTGCCCCTGGGCCTGAGCCGGAACCTGAATCTGGTTGCCGTGGTGGTGGTTCCTGTCGTTCTTGTTCATGAGACCCTGACTGTGACTGTGACTCTGACCGTAACTGTCCGGACCGCGACCCTCCTCCTCCTCCTACGCTGCCAACGCTACCGCCGCCAGGAGCTGCCCCTGGTAAAGACGTGCGGCTTGGAATTTCCGACTCTTTTGTCACGGCCGGTGGCGTCTGTTTGCTGCTGCTTCTGCTCGAGTTCCTGGCATGTGGAGAGCCCGCTGGCGCTGGATCAAGAGCAGCATCATCGCAATCGTCCCGTTGCGGTGATGCCGAATGTAGTGCGCCATCTCCATCAAAGCTACCTCTACCACCTCTACTTGTGTGACATGGTTCCTCCTGGGCTCCTCCTCCCTGTCTCCCACTCAGCCTAGAAGGGCCGCGCGGCCTTCGCTGTCTTGGAGGTGAGTAAAGGCATAACGAAGGAAGCTTTCGGCTCACACAGTAGCTGCAGGGCTTTTCGCCGTTGCACTTGACCTTGCGGCGTTTGCACACGTCACAGGCGTTGGCCACGCGCGGGCTGCGCGGGGAGGGAATGAGGCCATGGTCATGTTCACCTCCAGAGACAGCTCGAGCTTCCATTGATTCCACGGTCTCGGTCCATTGACGCTTGGGGGTTGTGGCTTTTTGTGTTTGTGCTTGTCGGTGGTCAAGGATGTTGGTTTTCTAGAAATGGAATTCGAGCGTGCCAACTGCCAAGAATGCGGAGGATAGGTGTAGTGTAAAGAAAAGTAGTTAGCGGGGTACCCAAAGATATGCTTGGTAGAAGTGCTTGATTCTGATGAAAGAAGAATGTCCTAAAGACCTGGGGGTCTTGGGTTTATACAAACGTCCCGTCGTCCTCAGAATCCCCTCCTTTCTTAGCAGTCTTTTGCTCCTTCTGTTGCTAGCCACCGTCGTGATGACTTCCTTCTTGATATCAATCGCTACCTTCCCACATTGTGGGGCATATAAGCAGGTGGGGTCGGCCGTCATGTATTTACTCCTCTTTTAGGGCTACATACTATGTACATAGAGGTACCTGTAATGAGCAACGACATCAAAGTTGCACATAAACCACGACACTTCGATGTTTATCGTTTTCTTTGTTCTCTACCTATGACATATGTCTGTCTGTCTACCTATGGGTGCAATCCTAATCGGAAAGCAGAGCAAGTAGCTATCTAACCGAAGTTCATAGACCCAGCAGATACATTGCCTTTGCTATCTCGTCCCATTACAAACGAACCCCTTTCCGTATCTCTCTTTCAGACAATTCTTCCTTGACTTTACTAAAGTGTCTCCTAGCGAAAGACAAGTCCAAAAGGACGTGATCTTGTCATTTAGAGCTTGATCAGCCAATTGACCAAGACACAATGGTTAAATCAAGGACCTCCCCTCTTCCGTTATACCACACACCTTGATCCATATGAACCACCCGGCACAGATACGCCAACCCTTTACCAAAGCCAGCAAACAAAAGCAAATGCCTTGAAAGCAACCAGGGTATCATGAACTCCAAAGGAAGCCCACACGAACTCCATGCATGCAAACATCCACGCATCCAGCTATCCGATTCTCCACACAACTCCAACAAATGACAAACCAACCATCAAGCAAAAGCTCACCCTCGCAGGACAAAGTCCAACCTAAACCAACCCCCTCAAAGCATCTTGAACAAATCATCAGCATACTTAACGCACAACGCGCCCTTGATCTCCACCGTCTTCTTATCCTTCGCAGCATTCATCTCCGTAGTAAATCCTTTCAGCAACTTATCCTGAATCTTGCGAGCCTCCGCAATGGCAGCGCCAGAAGTACCAGCAGCACCAGCAGCTTTAGCACCAGCACCCGCACCCGAAGCCGGCGTCTCACGATGGTGGCTGCTGAAAGCCCTCTTCCCAAGCTTGGGAAGCGGAATAGGCGTCACACTATGAATCGAACCATTAGGACCGACAGTCGTAGCGCGGACGGAACGAGCTAGGCGATCACGATGAGCAGACGCCGGGGAAGAATCGGGGCTGTTGCTGCGGTCATTGTGATGATCGGCCTGAGATGTGCCAGAGATCGCGGGCGAAGAGCTGGCGCTGAGCTTGATGGAAACCTTCTTCAGCGCGTTGAACAGAATGTCCTGGCGGATTGAGGCACGGAGCTCGTTCGCTTGGATACGCTGCTCCAAGGCGGCGAGGTTCTGCTTGATGGTGAATAGTTCGCCTTGGAAGGTCTCGGAGTGGAAGGAGAGATTGTTGTCAAACTTGACGACTTGTTTGGCAATCGCGAGGAGGGGGTTGGTGGTCATGGTAGCGGCGACGTTGGAGGCGGTGATTGCGGCGGTGTCCTCCTGCTCGAACTCGGGCTCCTCAGGCTTCGGTTCGGTGGTAACCTCCTTTGCCTTGCGTCCTTTCTTGGTCACTTTCGCTTCAGATGCGGGCAAAAACTCGGTCGCAGTAGCGGCATTGGTGGCCTGGTCTGCCTCCGTGGACTGCTGCTCAGTGTCGGCAACATAGATGACGGGAGCGACATCCTCGTCGATCTCGATGACCTGATGCTCCTCAACCTCGGCTTGGGCCTTCTTGCCCTTACGGCTCTTCTTGGCTTTCTTCTTTTTGACGGTAGAGGCCGGCTCATCAACGATCTCCGTGACCTCATGCTCAGCGGTGAGCTCCTCCACATCCTTGGGTGCCGAAACAGTCTCAGAAGCGCCGCCGTGCTCGGTTTCATTGAGCTGCTTGTCCAGCTCGACTTGCGTGGTGTCGTCAATTTGCATGGTATCGTCGACTTGCGTCATGCCATCAAGATCCATGGTGATCTCGTGCTCCTGCTCAACACTGATCTTCTTGGCCTTCTTCTTTTTGGTTTTCTTCGCTTTCTTAGGGGCGGAGACGGTGATGGACTCATCGTCGTCCAAGGCGTTGGACTCTTCAAGGCGCCGCTTCTTGTCCTTCTTGGACTTCTTGGTCTTCTTCACAGGACCGTCAGCGACCGAATCGTCGTGCTGCTCATCCTTGATGATAGTGGTCATCTCAACATCTGACTCTTCACCATTAGCGACGCCTCTTTTGCCGGCCGCAGGGCTGACGGCGGCATGCTCCTCCACATCGTGCATCACAGTATCGCCGTGCTCGTCGCCGCTGTCGTTCTTTGACATCACGCGGTTCAGAATCTCGTCAACGTCAGCCGGAGTGAGCGGATCGTCTTCCGTTCCAGCCCCAGCTCTAAACGGAGTGCCGAGCTTGGGAGCAGCTGGGAAGCCCTTGGTGGTCGGCAACGGGACTGGGGTGCACTTGTTCGACTTGGAGGGCGAAAAGCGGTTGGGGGACGAGTCAAATTGCATCATCCTGGGCATCGGGCCGGGAGTCTTGGAGTTGAGAGGCGAGGTGGGAGGGAAGTTCTGGTCGAGAGTCGAGTTCGGGACGGGAGTTAACTTGAACTTCTGTGGCGACCTGGCCTTCATAGTGCTGTTCTTCTCATTTCTAGAGTTGATGTTGTTGAGCAGCGACATCAGGGCCGTTGGATTCTCGGCGTGGAGTTGGGAGCTCGGAGAGGGTGAAGCGGACCTTTTCGCATGCTCAAAGGGAGGGTATCGCGGGAGTGGGACGCGACTCTCAGAACGTAGCGGGGCGTTCTCCTTGGTCAATTCGGACTTTGTGGGGACTGGCGACTGCAGAGGAGTTGAAAAATGCTCGTCTGCGACAGAGCCCTCGGGTGCGACTGCTTCCTGAAAAACAGTTGCCTTGGGCAGGGTCGGGCTCATAGGCTCCTTCTTGATCCTGACCATCTCTTCCTCTTGAGGATCAATCTCCTCGACAGTGACAAAGGTCTCATCCTTGGTAGAAAGAGTAGGGCTCTGGCCTTTGACAAAGCCACTCACATCCGAAGCCTGTTCTCCATCGGCCAGATCGCCTTCCTGGAGCTTGTGAGCCTTGGCCTTCTTCTTACCCTTACTCTTCTTCTTTTTCTTTCCAGAAACGTGGACGCTCTGGCTCAGCTTGCTGTCGGGGGTAGGCATCTTGTCCTCAGGCGATTTGGCGACCTGCTTCTTCTTCGCAGAACCCTTCAGGTTGAGCCACGGAGGCGCGTAAGGCATGATGTAAGTCAAGAGTGAGGTCAGCTTGAGGGAGTGACGATTGGGTGATGGTAGGGCGATGGAGAGATGCGCCTGATTCGTGCTTCTCGAGGCTCTGACGGAATAGTCAACAAGGCTTTGTGAGCAGAGAACCAAGGAGACAATTGACGAGAGAGAAGTTGTGTTGCTGCACTCGGCAAGGTGGTGATGAGGGAGGTTGATGTTGTGAATAACCCGCGCGGTAGTAGTGATGGGAGAAGATGGGTGATGGAAGGAGTGAAAGTCGGACGAGGTGAAAAGGAGGGGTTGGTCAAGGCTTGGAATTGAATTCGAAATGGAAGGTCTTGCGTCTCGCAGTGCCGGCCGCGTTGTGTCTGCCTGCTAGTTTTGTGGACCGGTCACTGGCAGACGCTCTTTCACTTGTCTGTCACATTGAGTTCAGATGGAATTATGGTTGCCGGGTAACGGTGGTGTTCAAGACGGGATGCCTGATAATGGGAGCAGTCCACTTGACAGGATATGATAGTCGCTTCTTGGTCAGTCGACGTCACAGCTGCCAGATGTCGATCGTATAACATTGTGTGCATATTACATGGACGATTTGGTCACCGGTGTTTACTCTGTCCATATTCCCAGCGCATGAAATAAGAATAATCGAAGAGTATACTGTCAAAGTTCCTCACCAGGCCCAGGTAACAATATTGAATTTCCAGGGTGCGTTCCAGGTTCGCTTACTTTGTGGTTCGAGTTACCTACTTGGATTGCTTTAACTCTGTGTTCTTTAGACATATTACAAGTACACTTGCTATCACTATGCACTTTCCCCTGGGACATGATGATTTATATGAAGACTGAATTTTGTATAAGCCAAACCTAGCCCGATCCGCTACCCTAAACGCCTGCAATGATGATAACTACAAATGGTATATGTAAACTGCTGATTTGACCTCGGATACAACGCCAACGGTGACCACTCAGCCACCTTTTGCAAAGAGAAAGATAAACGTTTGGTACGTTTGTATGTTCCGGGTTCATATGTCCAAACATGCATCAACTATCCAAGTCCTCACCAAGGACGAGATATGCAAAACCGTACCCACATCCAATGACTGGAGCATCGAAGCAGTTGCCTCCTGCTTACTGCTTGCGCTCACCTATCCCGGTCGCCAAGAAGAAGTACGTTCCCAGGATAGTGCACACCACAAAGGCGGTAAGCACTCCTGCGCCGGCCTTGTCTCTCCCTGTAAGCTCTGACATGGACATGATCGTCGCAGGCGTCTCTCCCGCATTGGGGTTACCACGACTCTGACCACCGGTGCTGTTGGTGACCAGAGGCTTGATTACATCATGCTGGTAGGTGACCAGATACGTCGAGAAAGCCGCAAGCGCGCTCATCTCCTGACCGGCGGGGCCGTTGTTCACGTCACCGTCGTACTTTCCGAGGTTCCAACGGTAACCGCATGTGCCGTCAGGCAGGCAGCTGTCGATAACACCCTCGATGTTGGTCTTCAAGGCCTTGACTATAGGTTCTCGAACAAGATCAGGCGCCATGAGGGCGGCTGTGGCCAAGGAGCGGAGGAGGTAACCCTTGAAGGAATGTTGATCGATGTTGCAAAGAAGCCTGTCTGTGAGCTCACAGGCGCGTTCAACCATCACACCCTGGGGGAAGAAGAACTCGAGGGTCCGGTTGACGAGTCCGGTAAGGGGCTTTCCCCATTGTTCAGCATCTTCGGTCTGTAGTGTTGAGGGTATGTTAGCTATCAAGGTCTTGTACGTGGTAGTTGGCGAAGAGCTTACCATGTTGTACATGATGGCGACACCATGGATTATGATGGCTGCGTTAGCTGACCATTGGACCTTGTTGATGTCTGTGCAGTTATTGGGGACATGACCACCGTCGTAGATGTTCCAGTTCTTATCGATGTAACCGACGTCCCTGATCCAGTTGAAAGTCTTCTCGGCCCAGTCGGAGTAGGTACGGTTGTTGGTATATCGTGCCAGTCTTGCGCCGACGTTGAAGAAACAGGCATTGGCGATAGTATTCTTATAATCATATCCAGCATTGGAGGGGTAGATCTGCCAGCGCAAACCTCCGCCGCATTCGTCGTCGTGGCGGTCGGGGGCAGCTTGCGTGTTGAAGACGGCCTGGGCCATCTCGAGCCAATCAGCCTCGCCGGGGACCAAGGGGAAGTTGACTTCGGCGGCGAGCATGGCAGCCATTCCCCAGAAACCCTGATCATCGTTACCGAGAGAGGCAGTCCAGTTGGGCGACATGAAGCTGTTCTGAGGCGCATCGGCTTGGAAGACGAGGGCTTGCGCGGCTAGGGCGTTGTATGTGTTGTCGCCAGTGTAATGCCAGTAGTCGACGAAGGTCCCCCACATGGCACCAGCCTCCCACCAGTAGTATGATCCGTCTGGCGGGGGACCAGGAAGAATACCGATGGTTTTTCCAGGTGTATTGCCATTATAGTATGATATCAGGTTCTTTGCGACAGTCTGTGCGGCGGATTTTACGGATGCTGTTCTCCGGGATTAGCTACGGATGAAGTCGAGAAAAGAAGAGGAAGTATGTGGTACTGACCAGTGTTGTTCAGGTCAACCTCGAGTGTTCCGTATACACTGCTAGCGGCAGCGAGCAGCAACGGTGCTACGCCAGTGATCTTGTTGGTAAAAAGCATGGCGAGAGTCGAGCTTCTATTCCAATTCCATACACGCGTTTGCACAACCAAGAATATGACGCTCCGAATTCGATATTATTGTATGTATGTTTGCGTAGAGAAGTACGTAGATGTCGATTTACAGAAACAAATGCATGGGGAAACCGATTTGGTGAGCGAGGGACAAAAGGCAAAGGGGTCCCAGATTGGCGTTCGTCGGGATCGCAGGGAACAAGTTCCAGTTCCCTGTAGCCTTGTATGGGTTGTGGCCTCCACTCGGTAATTAGATGGCCGTGGTCCGTGGCGGCGGCGGCGATGGCGGCGATGGTGACACGGGCGATTTGACGGCTGAAGAAGAAAACAACAACAACAACAACCCTTCTCCTCCTCAGCCTTTCCTCCTCCTCCCTCTTGAAGGTTCAAATGTCATCCCCGGGCTGACCTGACGTAAGGAAAAACCCGTGTTGGATCTGGAGTGCATCGTCAAGGGGCCCAAGGGGGGGCGCTCATACTGGGACGGGATTGGCTGGGATGCTGGTTTGCTAGAGAAAGGAGAGCGAATTTGGCGACATCAGATACTCCACTCCTGAATGCGTCCAATGAGACAGCCGTACCAAGACAGCGACTGGGGGATCGGACGGATGTAATGCGCCCCACTGTAATGTTCTAGGCAAAGCTCTTCCGGGCGGCGTTGGTCGGGTCCCTTGATGTCCCTTTTCGGCCACAGGCTGTTGTGGCCCTTTGTGCATCTGGTCATTGGACGACTTCAGATATGTTCATTTTGACGAGAAGTTATCATGGCACCTCAACCCAGACAAAGTTTGGTGAGGTAGTCAATTGAAAATTGAACCTGGAGCATCAGAGTGCCAGTGCAAACAAGGCCCTACAACACTGTCGCGACTGTCCATCACGTCCATCAAATTCCACTTGTTCGGTTTCAGTTTCCTGTTTGTTTCTTCCACTTCTTGTGTTAGTCTCTCTGCTGATTGTTGCCTGTTGACGGCCGCCTCTATTTTGCTTACTTCACCCCTTTAGACCCTTTTACGGTTTTACCCCTCTCCTTCTCTGCGGGAGCCTCGGCCAGGTGCCTGTCTCCAACCCAAGCATGTCGAATGATGCAAGTCAGGGCAAGTGTTCATCGGCCCATGCCTGTTGCTGCCTTGCTGGGAAATGGGAAATGTTCCGGACCCCACCTCAGACTCCTCCTCAACGTGCGCGACATCGACCAGGCTGGATTCTAGTCAGCTAACCCTGAAACTTACTAGCGTCTTCGTATTTCTGACCTTACGGGATCCACTCCTGCTGCTACTCCCGCATTTCTCTCTCTTTTGCCAAGAGAGGCTCCCGTCATCAGCTTGACGGGCGAGACATCTCTTCATGGTCCGTACTTGTAGTCGCCATGACAGCTTGAAGTAGTGTACATGAACAAAGTCTGGACGAATTTCCGGGGGACATTGCTCATCGCTCTACTTCTTCAGGCTGTCCTGATACTTGAGGCCATACGAGCGACATTAGCCATATGTATGATCTGATGACGGAGACATGGGCATAGAGTTACCGGTACTGGATTCAAAATCGTCAGTGCTGTCCGCGGTTTATACTGAGCATGACAACCTAGCGATCGATGAGTCTTGTCTTCCTACATACAAGTAAAGCTCGATGGCTGTTATCGATGATTGGGCCGGCGCCACACAAGTTGATGAACGAGTGCCGGATGAACACTCCTCCCGGACATGGTTCTATGAGGAAGAGTTGCGGAAAATGATGGAAGATTCAAGACAAAGAAAAAGATATATACCTACTCTCTGTCCGTCATCGACAGACTGATGTTGCCGAGTGTCATGCTCCTTTCCATGTCAACGATTCAGGGATTCAAGTCTACCCCTAACCCTGACACCTGGACTCAGGGGTCGCTCAGGAACCAAACTGAACACTCCCTTATCTTATCGACCATACGATACATAAGCAGTCCACCCCACCATGACAGCCCACACCGAGGTGAGCTGCATGGCCTGTGCATAACACCTTCGGCTTCCGGTCGGCTTCCCGTTGCCGGCCGGCGCGCGCGTCAGTTTCCAATTCCATATTGTCCCCGAACCGCGCCGACTGCCCGTTTTCCCTATCTGCGACTTCAACTTCAAGTCGAGAACCATCTGCACGACATCCGGATCCGTATCCTTGCTCGGAGACAAGGACCCCACCCGACGATCAACGAATTCCATACCATCCATTGACTCGACCGTTGCCGACATACCTACGAGAAACCGTTGTCCGAGTGAAGAACAAACAATACACAAAGAGAACACAGTCAAGATGGCGCAAGCTGGCAGTGGAGACAAGGAGCCATGGAACGAGGAGACCAAGAAGAAGTTCGAAGGGTATGTTCATTGGCGGCAGTATGAGTGGGCGGCGTCGACCGCGCAGGCCACATGGGGGAGGGCTGGCTCGGGGGAAGAAAGAAAAGAACGACAGCTGGCTAACCGGGAAATTGGGAAACATACAGAAAGAGCAGAAGCGAATACCTTGACCCGTGCCAGGAGGCCGCCCAGCGGAGTATCCGGTGTCTGCACCGCAACCAAGGAGACCGGACCATGTGCTCGGATTACTTTGAGGCGTATAGGGACTGCAAGAGGCAATGGGTTAGTAGTGTTCCTCTGCCTGCGGGATTGGAATGCGAGACGAACACAAGATATGCTAACGGGTCTAATGCTGGGATACAGATTGAAAGGAGACGGGAACAGAAGAGGAAGGAGGGTGCGTTCTTCTGAACTACCGGACTTTGATAGTAGGAGGGTATAATGATGAAAGCTACGACTAGAAGGGGTGGTAGAAAGCAACAGGAGGAAGATCAACGCGGGCGACATTGCCTTGTGCGTTTGTACAAATAGTTATTGTAAAGCATTTGGTGCATGGGTAGGCGTTCGGGTTACGAAAGACGGGAGTGCCCGTTTAGTCGTTTATTAAAGGAGAACAGGGAAGGAATAGATTTAGAGAAAGTGATCGTGGAATCGGGAATTGCTAGAAAGGGGCAGGGGAGATGCTCAAGTCAAACATCAAGTAAGCGGAAGCCGAAGTGACGACGGGATGGTATATGGACCCGACGGTGAGGACGGAGCCACTCACCTCGGTCAGGGCGGGGTCGGACCCGATCGATCACATGTAGGTACCACGTCCGCTCTGTCGCACGAGCCACTCATTCAGTCAAGGCAACCCCAAGCTCAACTTTAAACCTTCACTTCTGAAAGTCAACACCAAAGTCAAAGTCTGTGGCCTACGGTGCCTTTTTAATCCTTCTTTCCATTCTTCTTTCATTTTCAGGTTACATTTTCGAACGCCGAGACTGGGCAAGCAAGCAAGCAAACATCAACAATGTCATATGGTCGATATGGGCGCCCAGCCCTGAAAAACACCGTCGACGTCCAGTTACAGACCGCCTTCACTGACGGCAACTGGAACACCGTCATTCGTTTGGCCGACAAGCGCTTCAAATCTCTCAAGGACCCTTACTACGAGGTATACTGTTCATGACACTACTCATCAGTCCAGTCACTCACTATTTCCCATTAGGCAATCAGAATCGCTGCCGAGTCTCAGCTCGATGGCACCACAGAAAGGTGCACGGCACTGATCGCCATCGACGAGCTCGTCAAGTCCAAGGCTGTGCCCGACTATGACACCCTTGAGCTGCTCGAGTGGGCTGCGCGAGAGTACCTCTACGACACCGAGTATGCCGAGACGTTGGGTCCCCTCAGAGCCCGCTGGGTGAAGGCGAACCCCAAGAGCAAGTTTGCCGTGAAATGCCTTCAGTCCTGCTTGGAGTATTGGGACCTTGTGAGCGCTCAGCAGATTGCCACGACGCTGGACAAGGCCTTCGCCAACTCGGGAGACCGCCAATACATGTTCTGGAGCATTACTCTCACCTACCTCCTTTCAGTGAGTCCCCTTTATACCCTGAGGGAAAAAAAGGAAAAAACAGCTGACATGTTCAGGTTAGCCCCCAGTGCAGTGAGGCCAGCAAAAAGGTGTATAGCCTTCTTGTAGTGAAGCAACTTGAGAGGGCGGCTGATATTACTGAAAACGTATGTTGCTCACACTTTGTCAGTCAGAAAGTGCCTAACCCCAGCTTTAGTGCGAGAAAGTCGAGCCTAAAGATCGAGGTCTGCTTCAAGAAGAGGAGATCTCTCTTTACTACCGGGTCATGCTCTCTCATGGCTCCAAAGAAGACTTCATCAGCCGCATGCAGAGCCCCAAACTGGGACCTCTTGCCCAGCTCAAGCATGGTCGCAAGGACCTGTTCTACCAAGCCCTGAACGCCTATGAGTCGTGGGGCGAATGGGACCGCATCTATGACCTTTGCCGTCAAGCTCTCAGACTGGGCCTTGATGGTGCGACACCGACCTTCTCCGTCTGCGACTACAAGGTGTGGAAGAAGTTCGCCTTGGCTGCCAGCAAGTCCAAGGATCAGGAGACTGCCCTTGGAGAGGTGCAGAGCATCCTCAAAGAGTTCATTGCGCTCAAGACCAACACCGCCATGTACAAGAAGAACATTGCTCTCGCCCTCCTCGACACCGCATTCCGTCAGCCTGTGGTACCAGGAAGCTCTGGTAATGACTCCGGCTTGACCCCGAGAGTTATCCAAATCGGCCTATACTTGGACAGCTACTTTGATAAATTGTCTGCGTTTGACGATGTCAAGGATTTTGTCGCAGAGCTCAGCTTCGAGGAGGTCAAGGGTCTCATGGAGGAGGTCCTGCCCAAGATGCTTGAAGAGGTGAGTTCCATTCTCAAATCGTCTGACATGACGACACATCACTAACCTTGTCTTTATGTAGAAGTCTGAAAAGTCTAGTCAGGTTATCCTCAAGTCACTAATCTGCAAGCTGCGCTACCTGCTCACCACTTGCACACAAACACTCTCCCATAACCCGTCCGTGGTGGACGGCCAAGAGCAGGACAAGCCATACCAATGCCGTCTGTGCTCCACCCTTACGTCTCTACCATGCGAGAGCTGCTTGAGGAGCGTGGTTACCGAGGCCGCCCAAATATACCAGCAGATAGTCGACGACTCAGAGCTGTTGGCAGCTATCCCCCGTCTCGACAAGGACCCCCGCATTGACTTGGCCCTTGTCATGGGCAATTCGATCCTCAAGCTCTCTGGCTTGCGTCCTCGCGCTTCCGATGTTGCCCCGGCACCGCTGCGGGATGTGAACCCTTCGCTGTTCCTCCAGGCGGTCCTCGTCTTGGATACCCAGCTAAAGGTTACGCCTAGCGATGTCGCGCTGCGCCTCCTACTGGCCCAACTCTACCTCCTCCTTGGATGCGCTTCCTATGCCTACCAGATCTGGACTCCTCTGGATGTCAAGCGCACTATCCAGGATTCCCTCAGTCCCCTCTTCTTTGACAGGATATCAAGCTTGTCACCGGGTCTGTTTACCGGTACCCGCCCATTGATGGAGCCGCTGCGGTTATACTACAATAACAGTCTGCACAGTAGCTGCCCCTTGCGGATCTGGGACGCGTTCGGCTCTGGGAGCTACAGCAGTATTCTGGAGATGACCGAGTTCGACAGCAAGCTGCGGAGAAGCTGCACGCTTATGATGTCCATTGTGGAAGAGCGACGGGCAACTCGTGCCTTTGGCGGAAAGATCGAATGCGAGATTGGCGATTTGGCACTCACTGGTATGTTCATCTTGATCATATTTCTCTCTGCGCAACACTAACATCTTCCCAGAAAACATCGATGACACAACCACCCTACTCAACAAAACCGACTACGGTTCATTCGTCAACCTCGAAAGCCCTCAGGGTCCTCCCATCCAAGAGTTCCTCCGTATCGGCCCCGAGCTTTCCGTAAGCCTCTCTCCCAACTGAACTCTCACCGAAGATCCTCCCAAATACTAACCACCCCCTCCCTCCTCAGAACGAGCGCGCCCACCTCTCCTTCCTCTCCGAGCAATACCTCGACCTAATCCACCACAAACCGCCCAAGGACCACCGCCCCTACAAGCCCAGCGAGGCCGCCCTCAAAGAGCGCGCCTACACCTTCGAAACCCTCTCGCAACTCAACAACTCGCTGACAAGCTTCATCCACCGTCCCACCACCCCCTCCGCGCTCACCTCGCCAGAAGCGACTTACTACACCATCATCTCCCTCCTCTCCGCAGCCGTGCTCACCGCCCTCTCCACCACGCGCGCCGACCCGTACCCGTCCGAAACGATGAGCGTCATCACCTCGTCCATCCGCACCGCTTTCACCGGTTTGCGCACCCGCTTCACTTCTTCCTCCTCCCCTCCATCTAAGGGTGGCGTAGACGAAACCTTCCACTCCCTAACCGACACACACACCCTCTCCCACGTGCGCGCCACCGCCCTCGCAATGCGCCACAGCGCCGCCTTTGTACAAGCCTGGAACGACCGCGAGCTGGCCCGCGATCGCTCCGGTAAGAGTACTTTGCACAAGGACGGTTTGGCGGAACTGAAAGCACTGGATGCCATGGCGGCTAAGACGATCACGGAAGTCAAGGGACATATACAAAAGCTGAAGGAGGCGTTGGGGCAGGGAGGGTGGTTGGATAAGATGCTTGATTGGACTTTTGGTGCTGGTGCTGGTGCTGGTGCTTCTGAAGATGGTAAGGAAGGGAAGGAGGAAGGGAAGGGGCAGACATCAGAAAAGGCTGCGCTGGTAAGGAAGGCGGTGGAGGATGTAGTTGGGGGGCGAGAGGGCGCGGAGGAGTGGGTTGGGAAGGTGGTGGAGAGTTGGGGACAAGGGGTTAAGGGGTGGGGGTTGGTGAGGATGGAGTAGAATAAATGGGTTGGTATAGTTTAGGGGTGTGATGGGATGGGTATGTATACATGATAGATTTGGTAGAGAAAAGCATGGTTCAAGTGAAAGAGATGGGAATTATTATAGCCCGGGAAAGGGAATGAAGGAATAACATTGAAGTGTCAAACATTTGCCCCAGGTTCATCACTTAGCCCTTCAGTTGAATATGCAGAATCGAGATCCAACGTATGTAACTCTTGTCGTTGGCTGAAGAGCTTCTTCAACCATCCTTCAACTCCATATCAGATTTCAGGTCTCCAGTTAACTCCCAAGGTCCAAGCAATCAGCCTGACCTAGCGTATGGTAACCAGGTCTCGAGTTACCTTGCATGACCTAGCATATTCCCAGGTCCAAACACAGTCTCATCATATTCGAAAACCATATCCTTAGATGTCTCATTAACCATAACCTCAATAGAGACCTCTGAAGACCCTTCTTCGAAAAACCAAATATCCGCCCTTTCCCGTCTCTGCCTATCTTCCATCGTAAGTACATCATACATTTGATATGATCAATCCATCAATCCGCCAGTCCGTCATCCCCACGTATCCTGAACCTTGAAGGGCCACCTGTCGTTTGATTGACACTCGTTCGTTATATATTTTCATCCTCCCCATTCTCTTCTCTTCTGATCTCTTCTCTCTGTCCATCCATCCATCGATCCCATCCATTCCATGAATCCCATTCGATCGTTCTTTCTTTCGTCTCGGGTCGTTTTATGTACGTTAGGTTATTGTTGTTGTGTTGTTGTGTTGTTGTGAGTTGTGTTTATGTGTGAGTGTGTGAGCCGCGGTGGTGGTAGGTATCGTAGTAAGCGAAAGCAAGAAAATGAGAAAAAAACACATGACGTGAAACATGAAAACAAGATCTCTATCAGCGCCTTTGCCCAGCCTCCCATATAGGTAGTGAGATGAGAAGAACGAGATAAAAAAAAAGACGCGCCCCCCCTTTTTCTCCAACAGACCCCTTCAACCCGCAATCTACCGGCCTTAAGCCATGATCTCCCTCAAGACTCTCATACTCAATATCATGACCAGCAAACCGATCGTGACAATGATCAACAGCGTGAAGCTGAACCAGCCCATCACCATGGCCGAGCTGCCCACGCCGGCCATGACGCTCCCGTTGCCAAAGTCCTGGGCGATGACGGATGCCGCTACCGACGCCGTGTGCTGCCACAGCACCGAGACCAGTACGAAGATGGTAGCGATAAAAATGATGACGAGGGCGACCTGGCTGACGGGCCGCGAAGGGAAAGGCTTGACTTCGCGCTCGGAACCCTCAGAGTCTTCCTCTTCGTGCCAGCCGGGGAAGGTGGCGAGGAGGAGGAGGCAGACGAAGGCGAAGATGATTGCGATGATGCTGTTTGTATCTTGTTAGTATATATTTGCCTTCAAAGTTAGACAAAGGTCCGTTTCTTACATCAAATACGGAAAGACAATCATGTCCTTGAACTGAGCGGCTAACCAGACCAGGTTCAACGGATCTTGATCAACCGAGATCTCGTCGGCTAGCGTTGTCGCATTGTTGCTGCACAGCCACGACCCGCCATCGGGATTAACGCAGATGCCAAAGTAGCCGACGCGCGCCTGGAGACGGGCGCCGTCCACAATGTTGGCGATCGCGGTGGTGACGTCGTAGTGCACCTGCGAGGTGTCGGGGACGGCTTGGTAGTTTTCGTAGTAGAGCGACAACAAAAAGATATCGGGGATGACGGGTGATGAGGACGAGCAGCCTGCTAGGAGGAGGGCTATGTATGGGGTGTTAGTCTTGACTTGACAAGAAGAAAAGACGGGATTGTTCTTACATAGTAGAATGATTGTGAGCATGATGAGAATCATCAACACATGGTGATATCCCAGGAACGGTAGCCACCCTGCAGTTCATCATAGTGTTAGCTCATTCCGTTGCCTACATATCTGAGGAAGGGGGGAGAGAGAGAGAGAGAGAGAGCAAACATACGGTACCACCCTAATTGGAACCCGCTAGCCATCTTGTCGTATGTATGCTGCTTCCTTCTTTAACTTTTATCGCGAATCCCTTCTTCCTTCTTCCCTTTCGTTATAGATACCGCGCCTGGTACCCACACCCGCCCTCCGCGAGGTTTGCGCCAGAGGGACGGTTGGGGATGTTTTGCGCGACGGCTTTCGAATTGCTACGTCGTTTGGATCCTTTTCGAATTCGTCGGTGTCGACTTGGAGAAGGGTTGCGCCGTAAAACGATGTCTCGCTTGTTGGAATGGAAGGCGGTCTACCTCACTTGCTGGGTGAGGTACAAGTCGTAGGTAGTTGGTAGGATGATTGGAATGCGCGATCGGGCCCAAAAAGGTGTTCGTTTCTTCCCCACGTTTTCCTTGTCTTGAATTATTCCCGCGTGTTCAAAGTGTCGGTATCCGTTTCGTCTCGTCTCTGGTTCTGCTGTTTGGGCGCGTAGCTGAGGAATGCGGGAACGCGCACTAGTTGAGGAGGTGTATGTATGAGGATGTATGGATTGACAGGCACCGCAGTGGGTTGGTTGGTTGGTGGAGGGGACGCAGTTCAGGTTGCCAGATGCAAAAGCAAGAAAGCAGGCGGGCAGCAAGCCAGCATGAAGCGGACTGGACCTAAACAGAAACAGGCAAGGGGCCAGGCACAAGGTCGACCTTTCGTCCCTTTGGATTTTCTGTCCCTTGTTTTTTTTGTCCAAGGTATGTCAATGCTGCAGCATGAATCTGCAAGGCACCACGACCGGACCTAAACTCAAGGGTTTTTTCCTCGTGCTGGAAGGGAAGCTAGGTAGGGTAGAGGTATGGAGTCCCCGCTTCGGTGAAGACGGATGTAGGCTGTAGCTGCTAGTATGGGACAACGGTGGAGGTCAGAAAGACGGATGCACGATCGAGAAGAGAGAATCGTGTCTTGCTGTGTAGTGCAGTTTCCCGTCAGTCAGGTACAGGGCAAAAGTTGGAATGGGGACAGGAAGGGTTGAGAAGCGTGAGACAAGAGACTTGGTTTGCTGGAGAGGGCGTGTGCAAGTCGTGTGCACTGGACCTGCCTCTTCTCAGCGCGCTCGCGTTGCGGAAAAGCGGTGGCTGGTTTCTGGGCAACAAATCACTGCAAACCTTCAAAAAGCTAAACAGCCCACCAGCCCACTTCGCCAGGGCAGTGACACTCGCTATTTTGGGGTCCTCGTTTGCAAGTGGACGAAATGCAAATTGTTTCCCTAGCCATTCAATTCCCTGCTTTCACTTGGGGCAGCCGGTACCTGCTTGTATCGAGCCCGTATTTGCTTGCAACGTCAGGAACGTCGAGATACCATGATGACTGGCTGAGAGTGAGCGGCCTCATACTTGGACAAGATCTGCCAGCCCGTTGTCTCCGTCTTCCCCAACCTCCCGGTTTTATTTACTTGGGCTGGCAGAGCCCGTTGTCCGGACAGTGGCAGTGGAGTGGATGACGAAGGATGCGACGGACGGGGGGCCGAGCTCCATTTCTTGGCAGGGCAATCGCTGCGGTTGAGTTGGCGCCGTTTCGTCTGCCGTCTGAACTCTGAACTCCACTGCAGCAGGCGGCTAAAAAGCCTGGAGACGCACGGTCCATCTTCAAAAAGGCAAGAAAGGATGACAAAAAAGTTGAGACCTTGGGCCTATCGTTTGTGACCTCAAATTGTCTCGGCGTTTCTGTCATGAACACTCAAAGGCCGCCGTGAAAAAAAGGACTCCAGTTTCCCCGAGGCTTGGCTTCGCTCCCTGCCCTGGTTCCCTGGGCTTTCTAGCTCCATCTTTCAGCTCAACCTCCATCAGCTGAGATTTGAGATTTCCCCAACTCCCGAAAGAGCTGCCCTGATCGGAGAACGGAAAAAAAAAAGATACCAGAAGGCTGGGAGATTCAATGCAATGTAATGGAGCATGATGGCCCAAACAAGCTTCGCCCGCCTCATCGCGGAGATCATCAAAGCCGTACCTGACACGTGCTGGGGGGGGATTTGCCGATCATGACTTCTGTGTGTGTGTGACCTTGGAGTTTGTTGGAGAAGGACGCCGATATCATCTGTCAATGCTTTCACTTACTATGGTATATAGGTAGACTCGAGGTAGAGTACAGTACAGTACACCAAATGCCATGATACCATGCCCCGGGTTTTCAGGTTGGGACGCCCCCGCTTAAAGAAGGAAGCAGATGGGATTCTTGCCTGGTATGTTATGTTGAGGGTCTGTGGTACAAAAAGAAGACATGAGAGACTTAATGTTGTTCATTTTTAAGATGGTCTCATAAGTTGTGGAATCCCATCGACTAGAGAGAGAGCTCAAGACGAAGGAAGGCATTCCAAGGCCGATTTATAAGCAGCCAGCCACACTGTGATTCTCGCCTTCCTCATAAAACCCCTCCGGGTTCCGGGTTTCGGGAAAGGAGGAGGGGTAGCACGACATGTGCTTAGTTTGAGTATATCAGAGCCTCGTGGCCTACTACAAGTTGAAATAATCGCCTAATAACCCTCCAACCTAACTAAGCATCGACTAACTTTATTCCGACAACTCCTCTCCCAACCAACAAACAACATGACACACTTTCAGATCAAAGTAGTTTCCGACATCATCTGCCCTTGGGTATGGCCACCTTGACTCTTCATCCACGAACGTGTGCATGCGGCCACTTACACTAAGAAAATCCCCAGTGCTATGTCGGCAAAGCCCGCCTCGAGCGCGCCATAAAGCTCTACAAAGACGCCATCCCCGGCGGCGCAAACGACACCTTCACCGTGACCTGGCACCCCTTCTACCTCGACCCATCGCTGCCCAAAACCGGCGGTGTCGACACCAAGGCCTATCTCGGCAAGAAGCTGGGCAGCCCCGAACGCCTCGCCATGATGCACGCGCGCCTCAAGGCCATCGGCGAAGGCGAAGGCATCAAGTTCTCGTTGAACGGCAGGATCGGCAACACCCGCAATGCGCACAGGCTCATTCAGCTGGCAAAGACCAAGTCCAACGAGATGGAGAATAAGACTGCTGCGGCCCTTTTTCAGTTGCATCATGAAGAAGATGGCGATGCGTCGTCGAATGACATGCTAATTGCTGCTGGCAAGCGCGCGGGCTTGGATGGGGCCGAGGTCGAGAGCTGGCTGGATAGTGATGCAGGTGGCGACGAGGTTGATCGTGAGGTTGCAGAGGCGCAGAGGAAGGGAATCCATGGAGTTCCTAACTTTACCATCAACGGACGGTCAGAACTCAGCGGGGCGCAGGACCCGGAGACCTTTGTCCAAGAGTTCTTGCGTGTAAAGGCTGCTACTTCGGATGTTAGCGAAAGACCGTCTGATGGGCCGAGTTGTTAAGGGTTGGATGGCTGGCCAAGACGAACCCTGGGTAATGATGTATGACAGGCAAAACTCAGTGTCGCAAAGCCCTTGTTCCGTCGTGGTGTGATCAACTTTGACGGCTTTTGGCGTGTATGCGCTCCCCTTGAGCAGGTACCACACCTCAAAACTCCATCAATCCATTGAGATCGCGCTCCGTCGCCCGCAACCTCGCTTGCAACTCCCTCCTCCTTCGATCTAGCTCGCGTATCTCCTCCTCTTCCCTCCTCAGATCTTCCTCCGTCATCACGTCGGCAGCAGCCGCGCTCTCCCTGCCAGCCTCTTCCACTTCCTCCTCTTCCGCATAGCGCTCCAGGTTCAACCTGTCCAAAGCCTCTTGTTGCTCCGCCACCCTAGCCTCATAGTACGCGAGCGTATTCATCAGCTGTTCGTTCTTTCGTCGCTGAGCCGGTATCCTCTCCAGCGCGCCCGGCAAGGGGTATACGGTGCAGAGCTTCTCGGCACCGCGCAGCAGTACTTGGATGTCGAGTTCGCCGCCTCCTTGCCCGCCGCCGCCGCCACCACCACCGCTTCCGCCAGGGTTGCGTCGCGTTATTTGTGCGTGAAGATCTCCGCCCAGGACGGCGGCCACGGCTGTGTTACGGCGCGTCGGGCCGCTGCTGCGCGTCGAGTTGGCTGGTGGGCCTGTGGTGACCTCGCCGCCGGCGACGTTGAAAATGGTTTGTCGTCGGTTCGTGGGCTTTGGTGGGTCGGGTGCCTGGGTGGTGGCTTTTGGGGGAGGGGGAGGGACGGAGAAGAGGGCGCGCTCGTGGGCTTCGGTGTCGCGGATCAAGGACGTGATGTCGTGGTTGGAGAGGAGGGCGTTGGTGAAGATCTTGGGAGGGGGGAAACTAGTGGTGATGCCCGGAGGATGGGCTTTATGTTAGAAGATCAGGATACGGATTGAGGAGGAAACGCGATCAAGACTTGGCAGTGACCTACGGAAGGCTGTCGATGCTTTCGCATGACGTGGAGATTTGCTCCAAGTGCGCCAGGAGGAGCGACATGGTTGAAGGGTTGTGACGCGCCACGTGTGGAATGTTGGTTCTAGTAATCTTGAGGAGGTTGTGTAAATGTGAATATTTGGTGTATCCGTTTTTGGCGTCGTTGGTTGTTGGGGTTCAAGGGACCAAAGTGAAGCTGTCGCCAGTCGGGTGAGGCCCTGTAAAGTCGGGACTTGGTGCACCGAGCGTAAACAAACAACCCCACCCCCGCATTCCAGGCATGTGGGCCTGGGCCAGCTTCCAGATTAAGTACCAGCTACCTAAGAACTGCGCTTTGGAAGGCATAAATGAAAGGTACTCTGTACTTCCCAGAGGTGTGTGTTGCTTCATGCTCACTTGGTTCCCGCACTCATCCTCATTGCATCTTTGCCATGTCTCCCCATTTACTTGTAAAAAATTATCACCTCAAGCTCCTCTAAGACCTTTTGCCCATTTCAAAGCATCGTCTGTCAGAATCATAGCCTGGTGATTCTGGGATGAAGAGTCCGGAACGAAGCCGGGAGACCCCATCAAAAAACCCAACTCGCCGTGTTGGTACAGCATCCACCCGCACCCCGCCAGCCTTCCGATTTCCGAATGGCATCCCCGACCTTCCTTGTTTTAGTTTTGACCGTGTCCGACTTCTGACAGTCTCGCAGCTGACATACAAACTGGACAATGGCATTCGGCGGTGTACAGTAGCGGCTGCCAGGTGCGAGCTGCCGTGGCCTTTCCACGTGTTTCGCCCCGGTGAGCGCGGGAACGGTAACCTCATCCGTTTCCTTTGACTATCACCGCTTTCTTTTCTCTGTCATGTCATTATCAATCCTCCCGGTATTGTCCCAGTATATGTATTCAACCCCAAACGTTTGCTCAAGCGAGCCCTCATCAAGATGGGTGTGAATCGGCACAGTCCCGCACCCCCAACGTCTGCGCCAATGCGTGCTTTTCAATGCTCAACGGGCGTGGGCACGCATCTGCGGAATCGTCCATCATCTGTAATGCAACCTCAAGCCTCAAGCACAAGTTCATCACTCCCACAGCACACAACCCCACATTCCACTTGTCCGCATATTTCTCCCCGCCCTCCCCCTGCTGCACTTTCTTCATGTCGTCTGGTCCCTACACACACTATCGGATGTACTGCTAGGTACTGCCTCTGCGTTGTGATGCATCCGCTACTTTGCTGCCGGTCCCTAGTTTCTGTCTTGTGCCGGCCATTCCTCACCACGATTCGTCCGTAATCTCCCTTGTTCACCAGCTCACCTCGCTCACTCATCCGAGAACCCCTGGAGGCAACTGCGCTGGCCATGATATCTATCATGAAGCCCTGGTCCCCGCCTTTGCGTATAGACGCTTGACACGACTGACAAGTGGATGCAGTACCCAAGTTGAGAGATTGCTTACTAGCATGTCACAGCATTAGCTAGATACGAGACAAAATGGGATTTTCTCCTTTGTCTATCTATCACACTCCCTCTCTCCGCCGAGAGTCGGCCCTACCTGCCATTGATGTTTCCAGTCTGCCTTTGTTTCACGATTCCGCATGGACTCATCCAGCACAGAATCCGGGGAATAGTCAGGGGTACCCGGAGCATTGCTGCCCAAGGTGCCGCTACTCTCCCCGATAGCACTGGTTTTATACCGGACGCCGAGCCGAATGGGTGGCGGATGAGCACAATACCTAGGTGTCGTATGCTAACTTCCAAGAGCTCCATGGTGGTCATCAAAGCATGGTACCTGAAAAATGGAACCCGTAACCGAATTGTGATGAAGTTTCAAAGTGGTAGACATTCTTTCTGTCTACCTACCATAAAAGCCGCTCAGGAGATAACAACTTGTCAGAATACTGTTGTCGTTCACCCTGCGGCTCTGCTGCGCCTTTGCACCGCCGAGCACAAAAGGATTAAGCTTTCGATATACATAGCCGATCCCAGCTTACACAGTGGGCATAGTTTGTCGGCATCTTCCCATAGGTTACGGGTCCCGTCCCCCATTGAAAACAGTCCAACCGCAGGCATTTCCTTGCCATCGTCCCGCAGCTCTGGGAACGGGCAAAAACGACATCTCCCATTGACAGATACATATATCTCGCCATCGTCCTCCCCACACACCAAACAGCATCCGTCCTCTACTGGTCCATGCCCCGATTGGAATTTGGGTCCTCGCCAATCCTGTGCTGAAGCCTGGGCCCAATTCACATCAGACATACCTATCATGACCAGCAACCGAAGGCCATTTCAGTCTCCTAGCCGGAGGTTTCTTCTTTGGGTATTGACACCCTGACTCACTCTCACTTGTGCTCTTGTTGGTAGTGTACCACTTGTTCACTCCGAGATCCAAGATCTTTTACCACTGGCGTCGTCATAGCGGCATTCGTACCCCACAGCTACGGCGAACCACTTATCAGTTTATCAAGTCCGGGCTCTCGTCCTCACCTTTGTTTTAAAAGGAGAGCAACAGCAAACGGGACGCAGTATCTGAACACTTCGCCAACTTCATCAACATTAGTCTGCCGAGCCTACCATGTGGCCGTCAAACTCAAATATCAAGGTCATGCCTCAGGGTGCGGCACCCTCGTCCCCGCCATTGTCCCCGGGCTCGAGCCGGAAGGGCAGTCCTTGGCACGGGCCAATGCCGCCACAGTTTTGCCCTCCACCAATGCCATCCATCACCGTCCTCCGGCCAGACGGCCTTCACGGCCCCAGCTTCAGTTTTACCCGCGCAATAGACCCGGATCAGCTTTCACCACAATCTTGCAGCACCTCCTCGGCAACTTCTTCCGATTCAGACGACGATGCGGGTCCAGACAGTCTTCCACGATCCATGCAGCCGTCGCCGTCGCTGTCCCCACCGCCAACCCGCCCGGGACGCATTGTGACGAATTCCAACCTCATTGTTGAGGAGATGAGCGAAGCCAGCGACGATGATGACAATGCTGGCGTTCCTGTGATTTATCCGGATACCATTGAGTACGCCGAATCGGAACGAAGTCGGTCTCGGTCCCGCCGTCATCGAGAGGTCGATGAAAGCGTCATGTACAACCTCGGACAACTGAACTGCAGTGACGATTCCGACTCGACCGACATCGAAGAGGCCGAGCACCGCGAGATCCTGAGGCGGCACCGCGAGGAGCGGAGACGCAAGCGGATGACATCGGGCAGCATTGGCAAGCGAACCTTCAGCGAGAGCATAGGAAGCGACTCAGACCGTGAGGACCCCAGAGACTTCAAACGATTCTTTAGTGCAGAGGACCTTGGTTCCCCCGGCGCACGCCGTATTTATCGGAGTGTCGGTGGCCGCCGCCGCAGCGTGCAAGTGTCAGATCTAATGCCGCCGCCGAGGATCGACGAGATTGACGAGCCAGAGTCGAGCAACGAGGAGATTCTTGTTGATGAGTCGATGTTGTCTAGGGAACTCCCCTACTACGAGTGTGTAATGGAAATCGATTCGCCATAATCGATAGGGGTAGCGACATGAATCCTTATTTGTGGGCTTGGACAGATAGCGGCACCAAGCCAAAACACCAAAACGATCTACGCCAACAGGAGACCGGTCTGACGACTTGACGAAAACTACGAACTAATGAACATGATATAGAGAGAAACACAACCGGCTATGGATACCATGATAGACACGAGTGATGATGATGATGATACACCAAAACAAAACACGACAGCAGCGGTGGTTTGGGCTCTTCATTCTCCCATGATACAAAAGATGGACCAGGGCAAATGATGGACTTTTATACAACACACCGGCTTTGCATTTCACATATTGGCGCGGTTTCAAAGATGGCTTGTTTGGAGTATGGAGACTTCCTGGTTCAGGAGTTGGTTCAAGAATCATGGCGCGCATACGAGTTACGACTGCATTGACACGCTGGGATTGCATAACGGAAATGGATCAGTGTTTGTCGGGTACTATGACATGTTTGGCAACCGAGTAGCCAAGTCAGAGATCTGGGCAGCTAGAGGTATGAAAAGACTGGTACTTCAACCAACAATAATGTTGTCTTATAGTCTTTTCTTTTCCCCTATTACGGGCTGGGTTGACATTCGCGGTTCCAAGGATAACAAAGTCTGGTTTCATATACAGTATAGTCAAAGTAAAAGTATCACACTATATGTCATAGCTTTTTGTTTTGCATGGTTGAACTTTCAAACAGCAACCTCTAACCCTCTCTAGAAAAGAAAGAGTCTCCTGTGTGATATAGCGAGCTGGTGTTATTCCATTTGGGTTAAATGAGTGAGAAGCAAAGAGACATGACAGCAAGCAAACCTTCCAGCCGAAACGACAGACCGAGTATCATAAAAGCGGTCAGGCGACGTGATTGCGAACACTGATTGACCAAGAAGGTTAAGTTGAAGACGGAATGGGATGGAGCGGTCACTTATCGCTTGGAAGATACAACGACACAATGGGAGCATCCTGCGATAACACAGATCATAATGAGCAAGATTTTCCATCTCTTCAAACTGAATAACTGACAAATATGTCCGACTTGACGGTGTAATTGAGCTACTGCTGTTTGATGCTATCTGGGATTAGTTGTTAGGAGCGCCACACCCTTGTAACATGGACTGCAGGGAAAGGTGCTGTAGAAATTGTGGCTTAGCCAATGAACACGTCGCGCTGCGCGCTCAGTAGAGCGTGAATGCCTGCGTTCCAGCCACATGCTCTGAGGGCAAGTCAGTGGATGGCGAAGCCGATTGAGGATGCTATTCATCAAAGAACAACTTCGGTTCGGATCGAAGTCCGACCGCCAACAACATCTTCCGGTGATCTTCCATCGAAACTCCAAAGCCGCAATCAATAACAGAGTCCTAATCTCCAGTAGCTCTTGTGAAGGTACCAAAGCCCCGGGCACGCTTACAATTGTGAATACCTGCTGATTCCCCAGCTGCTCAGGACTGTTAAGTACCGTACCTCTACTGCATCGACGGAGCCTCGCAAACGTTCCTATATATTTTCAACCTTCTTTCTCGCCATCCGCTCTCTCCCTCACACCAAACGCCCACGTAGCAACATTGAGCTTCTGCTGTCGATACTCTGCCCAACAATCTCGATTGTGCGATCACGGCCTAGAAGATTCTGGGACATCAGACTTCGGTGAACAAAGCAACCACAATGAATCAAATGCCCGGTCAAGGCCAGCCCGGCCAAGGGCCGGCGCAGCCAAATACTCAACCTCCCGGTGTCGCTCCCAGACAACCGCAACTCTTGCGGCCCGAGCACATGCGAAATATCGCCTTCTTAACTCCTGAGGAAAAAACTAGCTACGAAAAAGGATTGGCCACATTCTGGAAGACTTTCGAGGAATCACCCGAAGGATCGTCAGAGAAGCTCGGGGCTAGGCGTAGCATCGAACAGTTTAGCAAGATGCTGCAAGACAAATTGAATCAGAAGAAGCAGGAACAGCAGCGCTACCTGCAGCAAATGCAGCAGTTGCGACAGCAACAACAGCAGCAGCAGAATCAACAGGCACAGCCCCAAGGACAACCCCAGGGACAACCTCAGGGACAACCTCAAGGACAACCTCAAGGACAGACGCAACAGCAACCACCACAACAACAGCAACAACAGCCTGGCCAACAACAACAGCCCGTCCAAGTACAGCAACAGCAGCTCCAACAGCAACAACCACTCCATCACCAAATCCAGGCCAAACAACCAGTCCAGCAGCTACAACCGCAACAACCGCCACAAATGCAGCAGCAACAGGGCCAGCAGCAACTACCACAACAAGGTGGACAGACTCCCCAGCTCGGCAATGTTCAGCAATCGCCGACACCGTCGCAGATCGCCTCTGGCATTCCCCAGAACACCGCAGGCGTTGTCCGTCCAGGACAGCCTGCTACAGCAGCGGGACAGCCAAACAAGCCTGCCATTCCCCAGGTTGTCCTTAACCACGTCAATGCACTGCAGTTCAATATACCTCCAAACATACCCGCCCAGGAACACAAGAAATGGGAATCTGAGACCAGGACCAAGTACACGAGGGCGTTCCTGACCCTCAACAGCAGCAACACGACGCTGGTAAACCTTCTGAACCTTATGGAGGAACGGAGGAACAACCAGAAGCCTTTTACTCCTGAGGAGCAACAAAATTTGATGAACCGCAAAGCGATAGCGGAGAAGTCGTTCAATGACGCCAAGAACTATTGCAACGGACTTCGTCAGACAATAGTGAAGCCTCCTCATAACACCCCGCTGACGGTTTCAATGCCGGGGTCTGGGAACAAGGCCGTCCCGATTGCGGCGAACACCACCCCGATGCAGAACCAAGTACGGCCGCAACAACAAGGCCAACAACCTCAAGCGGCCCCTCAGCAAGGACAAACACAGGTTCAAGGTCAAGGGCAAGCCTTGGGTGCTGGAATGGCACCATCCACAGCCGCCATGAACGCCGCCATCCAAGCGGCCAAAAACGCTGGACAGATGGCTGGGGTGGGCGGGATGCCCTCGCAACAAGGAGCGCAACAATCTCCTGCGCCCTCTCACTCACCTCAAATCGCCGCCAATCAGTTGCAACAGCATCAACAGATGCAACATCAACAACAGCAACCACCACAGCCGCAGCAACAACAACACCAACAATCGCAAACTCCCATTCAACCACAGGGACAACCTCAAGGGCAGCCACAAGCGCAGCCACATTTGGCACCCGCCACCCAAACTCCGACCACCCAGGCTGCTATCCCGCAACAACAACAACAGCAGCAGACCACCCAGAACCATATTAAAACCGAGCCTGGCTCACAGCCCACTCCTATGCCTGCTCCCATCAACACGGCAATTCCTTCTGGCATGGTTGGTGTACAAGCAACTGGAACCCCTACCCAAATCTCACAACGTCATCAGACTCCGCAGCGAACGCCCAACCAGCCGCTCTCGCACGCGGCGGCTATGAACCTTGCCGGACAGCAACGTGCCGGTTCTATCCCCGCTACCAACGTACCTGCGCCGGGCGGCACACCTGCCACTGTTCCAGGCAGCGTGGCGGGCGCAACTCAAGGACATCCCCACGCTCACCCCAACGCTATGCCCCAAACCATCCAGGCGTCCAAGTTCCCCATCGCCAAGACCCTCCCGGAAAAGGCGACGCAGATTCCCACGCCCGTCGCAGGCCCGCCTGGTCGTCCGACCCTTACCGGTGGCACAGCCGGCGTCGGCGTCATGAACCAGCCTGTCCTGCAGAAGACCCCGGCTTATCAGCTGGAGGGCGAGGGTGAGAGGGTTCTGAACAAGAAGAAGCTGGACGAGCTGGTTCGGCAGGTGTGTGGTGGTACGGCTGAGGGCCAAGATGGAAATCTCTTGACACCTGAGGTTGAGGAGGTACGTTGTTTGGAACTTGAATGATTCTCTAATTTTGTTCCTTCTATCTGCGGAAGTCCGCGGTCGATCTTACTCCCTAGCAAACCTCACAAATCCGTCACATCACAATCAACTAACATGGCATTCCTTCATAGTCCGTCCTTGGTCTCGCCGATTCCTTTACGGAGAGTGTCCTTCACGCAGCGTCCCGTAACGCAAAGGAGAGAGGATCCAAGGTTCTTGAGATCCGCGACATCCAGCTCGTTTTGGAGCGTACCTACAACATCCGCATTCCTGGCTACTCTAGTGACGAGCTCAGGACGGTTCGCAAGGTGCAGCCCAATGCTCAGTGGATCACCAAGATGAGCGCGGTCCAGGCCGCCAAGGTCATGCCTGGTAAGGGAGATCTCTAGTAGAATGATAAGAGGTTTCGGACTTTGGTTGTGTGCATGGGTATGGTAATCTTTTGAGGGGGAAATGGAAAATGGTGGCGTACTGGATGAGATGGAGGAATACAAACATCCATCTTGGGGTCCTTATATGCTTATCCCTGGCATGAGCCGCCTATAACATGGCTTAGGTAGAATCATCAATCCAAGCTCGAAATACAATGGATTGCTAGCAAGTGAAGATTTGATGCGTGATATTCTAGATCATGCAGGGTTCAGGAGACGTGTACATCCTGAGCCTGTATGATTTTGAGGCCATCTGGAAATAACTAGAGCAAGAGAAAACAATACTAGGGCCGGTGTTTGTGAACATGATGCTTGAATAGGTTGCGATATCTCCCAAGTTCAGGTCAGTTGTGAAACTTCACGTTGGTGGTTAGTAAAAGTGGTAGTTGAGAAAGGGATGTTGTCTACCCTTTACTTGTAGTTGTGAATGTACTCAAGTACCAGGCGAGCGACGTCGACAAGGCAGCACATCAACAACGTCAGTGACGAGCCGCAGTGGACCCAGATGAGGAAAGCTGACCAATCATAATGCTTAGATGAAGCTCTTCTGGAGCTTGTCCGAAGGTACAAGGTACCTGACATTGTACGTAGGTGGCCGGCTGCCTTCCAGCCAAGGAATGCCCACCACAGCACAGCACAGGGCGGTCCTTCAGTTGGTCGTCCGCTCTCCGTTTGGCGACCAACCGTGACCGGCACTTTCATCAGTTCAACAACTCCCATCAAAGCAACCGGGCCTGTGAAGCTCGAACTTGACTTTCCTGCACCGAACTCCAAGTACACAGCTTGGATCAAAATAGTTACCGACAGCGACGACGGACCAGTTTAGTACCCTCCGACCCAGAAACGCCCACGACGAGGTCACCCCCATACAAGTGCCCCATCCCCGCCTAAAGTTAGATCCACTGCGACTCTGCCAGCTGCTGCTGCTACACAGTAAAGCTGCTTCTCCAGGCTTGCAAGGAGGGCGCGCTTCGCGAGATCGCCCCAAGCAACTCGAACTCATACCTCTACATAGTCTGCTATTAGGTCGCCCACCAAACGGCGTCATCATCATCGCACCACAAGCACTACAACATCACCCGCGCCAACGCAACCGTCAACCCCCACCATCATCACCCCGTTCAGTTCCCATCGACCATCGGGGCCGTTACCAATCGCAGCAACCACGACCTCTAGCCCAGCCAGCTGATACCCGGAAACGCTCCAGATAAGGAACCATTTGAGCACGGAAGCTATTGGGGTGGAAAGGATCTCGAGATGCCGGACAAGGATACCAACAAGTCAGGAAAGCAAGGCGAGGACGAGATGACCGTCGTAGTCCCCCCTCCCAAGAACAAGCAGAGCTCTGCGCAACCCACCAACGACGCCGATGGCGACATTGCCATGGGAGACGACACCAAGGCCGGCGAGGCTGAGGCCCAGGTCGACCCCGTCGCCCAAACCATCAGCGGTACGATAGCTTCCCAGTCCCCAGCTTCTACATGTAGTTGTTCTTCTATGTTTGGGCCTAACTAACCCCTACTCGCTTGCGCAGATATCAAGAGCAACTTTGCGCTGCTAGACCGTGCTGTTGCTCTGTTCGATGCCAGATTCTCTCTACGGGCACTGCGATCCATCTCGTCCATCCGGAAACGCTTGACAGCCGACATCCTCGCACAAGTCATCTCAGAGACCTTCTCCGCGTCGTCACCCAATACTCAGATTGCCGAGCACCTGCTGCTCGCCGTCGACCGGCCAGATGTTACTCTCGGCGGTCAGCCTAGCTCAGAGATGGAGATCGACTCGGGATCCAAGTCGCCAGCTAAGAACGGTGGCAAGAAGGAGGCCAAGGAGGTTATCCCCGAGATCGACATCTTCCTAGGCATTCTGGCGCAGGTCCACCTCTACGACACCAAACAGTTCCAGCGCGGATTCGCCCTGTCGCGTTTCCTATCCGAGCGTATCCAGTCCCTCAACCGCCGCACATTAGATAGCCTCTCGGCCAAGGTGTACTTCTACTTCTCGCTCTTCGCCGAGCAGCTCGCTCCCCTCCCGCCTTCCCCCCAGTCGCCGATTGTGTCGATCCGCTCGATCCTCCTCGCCGCCCTCCGGACCGCCGTGCTACGAAAGGATATCGACACCCAGGCTTCCGTCATCGTCCTCCTGCTCCGGAACTACCTCCTCACGTCGCATATCTCCCAGGCCGACCTGCTGGTGCAGCATACGCAGTTCCCCGAGAACGCTGCCAACAACCAGGTTGCGCGTTTCCTGTACTACCTCGGCCGTGTCCGGGCTATTCAACTACGGTACACCGAGGCCCACGAGCATCTCACTGCGGCGACACGGAAGGCTCCCTCGAGCGCCTGCGCGCTTGGCTTCAGCCAGACGGCGACCAAGCTCCTGCTCGTCGTAGAGCTCCTGATGGGCGACATCCCCGACCGCGCCATCTTCCGCGTACTGACCATGGAAGCCACGCTCCACCCGTACTTCCTGCTCGTCCGCGCCGTGCGCGTCGGCAACCTCGAGGACTTCGAGACCACCATCGCCGAGCACGAAGACACCTTCCGCCGCGACGGCACCTACAGCCTGATCCTGCGCCTGCGCCAAAACGTCATCAAGACGGGCATCCGCATGATGAGTCTGAGCTACAGCCGCATCTCGCTCCGCGACATTTGCATCCGCCTGCATCTCGGTAGCGAGGAGAGCGCCGAGTACATTGTGGCCAAGGCGATCAGGGACGGCGTCATCGAGGCCACGCTCGACCGGGAGCGCGGCTTCATGAAGAGCAAGGAGGTGGGCGACGTGTATGCCACCAGCGAACCGGCGGAGGCGTTCCATGATCGTATCCGCGCCTGCTTGGCTTTGCATGATGAGAGTGTCAAGGTATGTTTTCTCCTTCTTATGTATTCTTCATTGAAGATGATGACGGTCCACTAACACTGTTGTTTCTAGGCCATGCGTTTCCCCATGAACCAGCACCGACTCGAGCTTAAGAATGCCCAGGAAGCAAGAGAGCGCGAGCGTGATTTGGCCAAGGAGATACAGGAGGGAGATCTGGATGAGGATGATCTCGGTGGTGACTTTGAGGGCATTTAAAGAGGTTTGAACCAACCAGACCAGTCTAGGCTAGGTGGCTAGGTACTAGATATTACCTTGCTTGGCTTACCTAGTCTGGGAATCATCCTTGTGTCTTGTAGTAATTGTTATGGGGATCATGCAGCTACCGACAGACTAAGAAATAAGAGAAGAAGAGAGAAGGGATGAGCCTTACGCTAGAGAAAATGCGCTACAACGTACACAATTGCCTCGCTTATTGTTTTGATGTCCCTCGGAACGGTCATTGTTCGGCATCTACCATGGGTGATAAGGTACTATCAGGACGAACATCGAGGTTGATCTTTGAAGCTGTGTTTGTTGTACGACGCAAAGCAACTTCCGTAGTCGAAGTAAGGGTAACTAAGGTAGGTATCAATCACTTTGAGAGCTATAGAAACAATGTAATACAACAACACCCGTGCCCCCTATATATCCGTGAGACCTGCGCGCGTGTATACATGTACCGGCACAACAACCAACCTTCAACATCTTATGCATGACTTTTCTCGTACAGGTGAAGCAACATATGTAGTTTAACCTGTTGTATTTAATGTCTACATTGCTGCCGCCATATCATAATACCATAAACAATAATTTTAAAGGGAAAAAAACTGGCTACCCTAAACAACTACACTACATGCCTCCTCCCACACCTCTATCTACCAACCCAAGCCACCCACCCGTCACGAAGTCACCTACACAACACAACACAACACAACACAACACGGTAGGTACCTCTACACAACACCACACCCCAAACTAAGCAACAACCCTCCCCCCCACCCCCTCCAACCCCACCCTCTCACACTCCAACACCAACGGTCCCCCCGCCGGTCCGCTCGCGTCCAAGCTCAGCGTCACCCTCGCCCGGTCGCTGATAACTTGCACCACCTCCCCGAGGTTCCTGTTATCTGTTTCGCAGTGTCCGTGTACTGCACCTGCACTGCCCCCCTGTTGTTGATTGTCGGTAGTTCTGTCGGAAGGGGAGGTGGTAGAGGAGGAAGACGTGGATGTAGTAGATTTAACTTGAACCGGCTTGATATCCACGCTTGGGTAGGGGAGGTAGCCTTCTCTTAAAGGGATGAGAAGGAGGGGGATGTCGGCTTCTGTTTGGGGGGTTGAACTTTCTCTTTCTGCTGCCCCAGACCCAGAGGTGGAGGGGGAGGGAGAGGGAGATGGAGGAGGCAAAACGGGAATAACAAAATGCCCTTTGCGTCGACCGCCTACTAACCAGGTATCAGGCGGAGCGTTAATCTCGTAGCTGAATTCCAGGTCTTCGGAGCGTTGGGGGGAGGCAGGGAAGGCGGTGTCCCAGATTCGAGTCCATTTGAGCCGGAGGGTGGCGGGGAGTTGTTGGTTGATTATGAATGTTGCGTGGCCTTGGCCACCCTCGAGGGAGGTGGGGGAGTGAGAGTTTTCGTTGGAGTTGATGGGGAAGGGAGGTTGTTGGAAGAGGATGTCGGTGGTGTGGACGATGGTGATGGGAGGGATGTCGACGGGGATTAGGATGGTGCTGATTAGGGGGTTGTTGGTGGTGTTGTCTCCGTTGGAAGAGGGGGAAGAGGGGACGGATAAGGGGAGGACGGGGTTGGCGAGGAGCCAGGAGCGGAGGAAGGTGGCTAGTTGGGCGGCGATCTGGTGGCTGTCTTCGCCTTTGAGGGAGGAACTCGAGGTGGGCCCGATGCCGGGGAATTGGGTTGCCCAGTTGATGTCAGACAGAAAAGAGGTGGAGAGCTCGCCGAGCAGAGTGCACTTCTCGAGTTCGTACGCCGTTAGCCGCTTTTGGCTCCAGGCGAGGACTTTGTAGACGATCAGCTTTGAGTACTGCCGCAGGGGAGTGTCTGCGAGGTCTTTGGTGAGGGTCTTGTCGAGTAGATCCTCGATCTCGTCTTGGAGGACGCTGTACCACAGCTTCAAGTAGAGTGTCTTCTTCGTGCTGGGACCAATAGATACCCCGGGTTTCTTGGTGATCTTGTACAGCAGGCTGGCTGGCTGCTTGGGGAAGATAGCGACTGGGTCGCTTGGTGGTATCCCGTAATGTGACTCAAAGAGGTCTGATGGGATAAGCTCGCTCTTGTACAGCCTCAAGGGACTGGGACTAGCAGTGGAGACGGTGAACCGGGAGAAAAGCGCCTTGTGCTTGAATACGTCTTGGACGTTGACTCCTAATGCAAGAGCAATGGAGACCGAAGAGGTCTTGAAAAATGTAAACGTTCCCTTATCGGTTGAATATGTGACTTCAACCTTGACAGCGACGTGAAGTACGTCCTGCTCCATCTTGAAGGGGAATCTGATCCTGACGGAGCTGTCTCTTGTGATAGCCCCAAACGTGAATGTTC